GGGGTCCTGGGGGTCCTCGGGCAGGGGCTGAGCCAGCAGGTCGATGTCAGCCCCGGTGCTGCCGGTGGCCACGTAGCTGTAGGAGCCGCGGGTGTAGGGAGCGCAATGCCAGCGGGAGCGAAGCAGGCGCCGGGGAGCAGGAAGGAGTGGGTTCCCTGCAGGCACAGGGACTATGTGGGACCCAGACCCCTGCACCCCACGTCCCCCGCGGGAGCTGGGGTGACGGGTGGTGGCGGTACCTGTCACCGTGCGGAGGAGGCAGGTCATGGCGCTCAGAACCTCCGCGTCGCTCAGAGTCTCCATGTGCTCCGACTCCTTCCCCGCGATGAAGCCGCACAGGACGTGTCCGTGCCTGGGGAGGGAAAATGGGGCTGGGAGCTGCCTGCCATCTCCTGCTGCCTCGTGGGCCACCAGGGACCCTGAAGGTTTCAAAGCTCCAGACAGGACCAAGATGCTCCTTCACGTTGCCCAGAAGATGCTCAACCCCCCCCCAGATGCCCCTTGGCACCTGACCACGTACTGCTCTGGTGGTTGGACAACCACAAATCCAATGAGCTTCTTGAACCAGCTGGCCTCCAGGTCAGCACTGGGCTCTTCAAGAGGTGACTCGTCCTCCCACACCACTTCCAGCAACTGCTGCTGGGGTTCCCAGAAAGGCTCCTCGAACTCCAGGAAGATCTTGTTGTTGGTGCCGAAACCCAGGCGGCGAATGGCTTCTGCTTTCTGCTTGGGCAGGGGAGGCTGGAAGAAGGCCTGGTGGCATTCCTTGAGGAATCCTGCAGGGAAAAGATGGCACAGAAGATGGGGCAGCTCTGTCTGAGCTGGGTCTGAGATACTTTTCCTTGCCCTCTGTCTTCCCATCTCCCAGTTGATTGGAGGGAACAGGCAGGACGAGGAAAGGTGTGTGTTCTCACCCAGTGGGACGGTGATGATGACGTGGTCAGCAAGGAAGGTGTCTCCATCCTCACACTCCACCTGGACAGGGAAATCCCTGTCATCCTCCCCTTCCTCTCGGAAGGTCCCTCTCCAGTGGATGGTCCTCACTGCCTTGTTGAGCAGGACGGTGCCCTCAGGAAGAGCTGAGAGCAGGCGATGGGCCAAGCTGCTGTAGCCACTGTGGGGAGGAGACACCAGTAGGGATAAGCTGCCCCCTGGAAACACTCTGCCCCGTCCCACCTCTCCAGCCACACGCTTACCCCGGGAAGGTGCAGTCCAGGCCAGGCAGGGAGACGTACTCCCCGAAGGGCTCCAGGGCCACCAGGTCCATGCTGTGTGTCCCGCTGATGCAGCACTCCAGCTTGAAGCAGGTGGCCAGGACGGCCAGCAGCAGCCGGCGGGCACCCTCCTGCCCCCCGCCCAGCA